TGTGTGTTTTGGAGTTTGCATCATTCACCTGTTTACATCGCATTTCGCCATTTGCTGCTTGTTTGCACCTGTTGACCATTATGTTTCCCTCTCTCCCACATCTTCAGGAAGTTTCCTTCAGTCCTTGTGAGCTTTGACACCTCAGATTCTAAAATCTGCATCAGGTGGTCATTGAACTCGTACAACACTTGAAATATAAGGCAACTAAATATTGCATCAAAGCAGCTCTCACTAATTTATTGTGTAGCACTAGCACACACACACGCACGCCCACAGCAAAGAACATCCTTTTATAACCAGCAGCAGAAACATTCCTGGCACAGATTTCTCTGGGATTTTTTGTCCTCACAGCTGAATAATTTGACGAAGGGATGGAGATTCTGATAATTTTAGATGGTGAAGGATTACAGAGTAGTAACGAGTTGCCCAAACAGAGAGCTCATCTATGATGCACATTCTATGCACTGTAGCTCTATACACCTGATAAGACAGATCACTTTTATTTTCCTGCAGCTTGAAGTAAGTCGTATTCAAGGAAATGAATAGTTATTGGTTTTAATAAACAGAATGGTGATATTGTCAGTATTAGCATAGTTACTATTGAAGCCTGTGTTAGTTAAATCATTCCTAAAAATGATGTATTGTTTGGATGAATGCATCATCTGTGATGCTGCAGACATGAGCAGAAACAGTTTTACCACCAAGGAGTGTTTAAAACTGAACCCTTTAAATGCACAAAGAAAAGGTTTTGAAGACCTTTTAGAAACCAGCCATGGGCAAATTTCTGATAATTAACTAACATGATAATAGCAGAGCTGATATTTTGCTTAGTGCTTTAGCACATTTGCCAACTTTGAAAACATTTTCTTGAAACAATTAGAAAAATGTATGAACCTACAAATCTGTTGAGAAATGGCATGTTTTGAAGGAAACAGTGATTAACTTTTGATCATAATATTGCAATAAAATCATAATAAAATGTTTGTGTTAATTTGGCCTCCAATGACTTTAATAATTAGAGATGGATTATTACATAATGCGTTTCATCTTCTGATTAACATCATTGAGCCAAATAATGAAAAATCTGATATTTTTTCTACTCATTAATGTAAAGAACTCCAATAAATTTGGGTAAATAACACATTAATTAACATCAAAGAGTTTGATGCACTAATAGATAAAATAATCTAAAAATCTTATGAAATTCAACCAGACATTTTAATGTTTGCTGAATTCAATATTTTTTTCTCCTTATGTTTTATGGACTTAAGTTATGAAAAAACTTCTGATTAGACTATTAATTAACTGAATAACAAACTTAATTCTGATCCAAGCTAAACATTTGTGAAAACAAGCAACTAAGGGTGTCTGGAAAAACAAAGACGTCCTCAACCTGGCGGTAGGCTGCTGAAACTGGGCCCCACAACCACACAAAAACCAGAGCGCACTCACACTCACATGTACACCTGATGGTGCAGTCACATGAGCTCCAGTCACCGTTATCTCTATCATCTCTACTTTGCACCTCGGTCACGAAATCAGCCCCAAGAACCCAACAGATGGTGCTGCTTCTGCTGGGGTGAACACACCAACATCTGTGTGTGTGTATAGATGTTGAAATGAAGATCATTCCAGCGGCAGAATTGCTTACTGTCATTCATGGCCTGCACACTCCCACACACACACGCACGCACACACACATCGGGCTTTATTAAAACGTCAGGTTGTGTGGATCTACTGTGTGCTGTCACGCTGTCTGTTGTGAATGGGAAAGGCTGCGTATTTACAGTGAATTGTAAATCCTGCCCAGCACTCAGCTGTCAGAGACTTATGAATTGCTAATATGGTGTATCTCGCGCCGCTGATTCCCCGCTATCTGCCCCCTATCACTTCCATTGTGCGCGCAGCACAGAGCGCGGGCGGGGAATCAAAAAAGCCAACTCTGCTAAACGGAAATAAAACGCTTCAGATGGAAATGTACAAAACTGTCTGTCAAAACCTCTAAGAAGGAAGTTACGCTTCATACCCTGCTTGATATGTTTGCTTACTGTATCGTCTTTCCAGGACAAATAACCTCTGTGATCAGTAACTGATTTTTCTTCAAGTGTGATTTAAACAAATGTAGATATAATATTTAATAATTAGTTTATCAATAAACTGAGGCTAAACTGCAAATAAAGTGAACGAAGCACTTTCTGTCCTGAAAACAATCAAATCCAGCTTTATTTAGAAAGCACTTTACATCACCAGAGGGAGCAAAATGCTGCACAAAATACATAAAATTACAAAAGTTACTTTAAAAACCACATAACCGGTCATCAAATCAAATACTAATAAAGCAAACTACAGGTAGGAAAAGGTCTGCAATTAATTAATCACTACTTAACTGCCAAACTAAACAACATTTTCAATTCAAAAGTCCATTTTGCTACTAAATCACTGAGTAAATAGAAATATGAGCGCAACATCAGAGATACCCATAGTTTTTATTCTTGAGGTTCTTCATCAGATTGCAGCAAAGTTCATCTTTTGTTCATGGAGCTTCTGTAGAAATCTGCACTGCGATAGGCTAACTGCTTTAGCACAACAATCTTTTCTAGAGCCCAGTCAGATCGTTCAGAAGCAGAAATGAACTGAAGTTTCCTGTCAGCTGCTCTTAGTGGATCCAAGTCAGATTTACAGTTGTACCAGAAACACAGTACAAAGGTTCCGTCTCTGGTCTTTTGCAAAAGAAAAACAAAGTGATGTTCACCTGCAGGCCCCAATACTACACATTAAATCATAAAACAAAACCAGAGCGTTCTGAAGCGCTCGCTCTATTTCTTGTCATATTTCTATAAAATACAGCTGAGATTAAAGCGGGTTGTGATATGTAAACTATGTTTTCTTCCTACATATAAACCTGTAAACAGATTGGTTTCTGTAACTTCTTTAAAGTTAAAAGTGAAAACAAACTATATTTTATATTCAACAATTAACCTTATTTTGCATAATTACCCATGTAGGAGGCAGTTTGTTAAATACTTTATGACTCATGAGACATAAGTCATGAAGTAGTTTTGGATTAAAACTACCAAATTAATCCAGTTTTTGTCTATAGTGAACTTTCAGAAATCACAGTGGCAGCAGTGCGTCACAGCAAAGGGAAAATAAATGTGTTTAAAAAAATGTGTTTGTGAAAAAAAATGTGAAAAAAAAATGTGTTTAAAACGACTAAACAAATGAAAAAATTCCTCTTTCCTCTCGCTTTGTGCACCCGTTGCTGTTGCAAATGTAGGATCCACTAACCGCCACAGAAACGGCATCACAGGAACTCAGCTTAAAGTCCCTGCTGGTGATGTCCAGGTTGGTTTTGGTTTATATCTGCTTCAGCTAATAAAAAGTGATAATCTGTGATTCTTTAAGGCTCTGAAGTCTGATTTCCTCCAGAATCAAGCGACTTGAGCTGAAATGATCCTGTCAGGTTGAAGGAAAACTACCTGATGCTTCGTCTGCAGCTGCATGTTTCTCTCTGGACAGAATCCACCGAATAGTTTGGTTTAATTTAGCCCTGAATAATAAAACTGGAAGATTCATTTTCTGCTCAACAGCTCAGCTACAAATTCAAATAAAAGCTGATTTGAATCCTGAGAGCCTTTAGATGCAGCAATTAATTATCCAGACGTCCTGAAAAACTGCAACATTTTATCCATAAACACATCAACGCAGAGAACGCACTGTGACCGCTTTCAGTTTAATTAAAATCAGAAACGTTTGATGCAGAAACCGGATCATTTAGTTTTTTCTTCATTTTCTGTTGAATTAAAAACATTTATTAAATAATCTGCAGCACATTTTCTCTGTTATGTGTGAAAGTCTTTAAAAAAACAGATCAGATGGACACTGGAAATCTCTTTTTGTGATAATTACGGCTTAAATTTGCTGATTTAGCAAAACATTTTTCAAAAAGTTGCATATTTGTGCAAATCTTTGACAATGCTGCGAAAAACCTTCCAAAATATTACTATTTGTTTTGCAAAACAAATAGTAATATTTTGACCTAAGATTTCAGTATCTCATTTAGTTATACATCATTTTGGTAAAGTGATAGAAATGTTTACACCTTAAACTGTTTCAGGATTAAAGGAAATCAGTTGAGAGGCAGCTGAGAGCAGAAACAGTTTTACTGCTTCAAAGTTTTCAAATATTTAAATGTGTCAAAACTCAGAATTCCCACCATTTACAGACCATAAATGCTTCGTGCCACAATGTAGTTCAATGCCTCTTTTAGCCCAGTGAAATCTGAACCGGGTTAACTTCTCGTTGGACGGGAGCATTTCTCGCAGAACCTGCAGATCCTGCAGACCAAATGTGAGGCAGCAGAAACCTGCAGCCATGCAGATGTTCGAGCATCTTTCCAGCTGTTTGCTTCCTGTTCTGCAGATCAAATCACGACGAAGGAAAAACGTTTTAAAGTTCGCCTGCAGGACGAGTTGCTGCAGAGAAGACGACATCTCTACTTGAACGGCAGCCAGGCTGAGCAGAGTGACAAACGAGCTCCAGAGAACACACACACACACACCCTCACACACACACATCGCCCTCACACACACACATCGCCCTCACACACACACATCGCCCTCACACACACACACAGCTGAACCCATGAGCACTGAGGGGAATCAGCTGCAGCAGGTGGAGAATCTGCCGGTCGCATGTTCAGCACAGCTGAAAGTGAAGGACGACCGAGATGCTTCATCCCAGAAAGCAGCTGCTAACACACACACACACACGCACGCACGCACGCACACACACACACACACACGCACGGACGCACACACTCTCTCTCAGGTTTAACCTGAAGCATTTCTAACTTGCAGCTATGAAGGCAGAAAAGTAACAAGTGAAAGGAAGAGAGCGGCGCTACGGCTCCGTCTGAATGGAGAGCGAGGGATGAGAAGAAGAACTGATGAGAGGAAGAGGAGGAAGAGGAGGAAGAGGAGGACAGTTTCTCTACTTACAGGATCTCCAGATCGCGCAGTGCTCGGAAAGCTCCATCTTCGATGCAGCCAATGTGGTTGCTGTCCAGTTGCCTGCAGCGTGCACACACACACACACACAAACACACACACACACCACACACACAACACAAACACACACACACACACACACACACACACACACACACACACACACACACACAAACACACAGTGAGAGAGAGAGAGAGAGAAAGTCAGATGAGTCTGCAGGGTCCGCTCTGCCTCGGTCGGGGGAGGGACTAACGCCAGATGCATGAATGAACATGTGGAGGTGAAAACCCACATGCAGCAGGTAGGACCCCCAGGCGCCTGCAGACACATACTCAGGGAATAGAGTTCCATGCAGGCGGGAGGCGCAGCCTGAAGTGAGCGGCCCGGAGGAGAGCAGGAGAGAGGAGCCCGGTGCGCCGCCGCCAGCCTATCACCTCCCTCTCTCTCTCTCCCCTTCCCTCGCTCGCCCACCGCCACACACAGGCCACCAGCAGACAGAGAGAGAGGGGCGAGAGAGGAAGACAGTAGAGAGAGGGAGAGCTCACCCTGCTGTCTGCTCTGTTAATATTAATTGCATTTCTTCTTCTCTCTCTCTAGTAGTGAAACCAGAGTAATCAGATTACATCAGGCCAGCCAATCCATTAAGGCCTTTTACCGGCTCTGCCACCAAACAATTTCATTAAGAGGAAAGCCTCGCTAAATCACGCTCCAGTCTTCCTCCTCCACTCACCATTCATCTCTCGCTTTTACTGTAATTTGCTTAGCTCGGCGTATTGAGCCCCGGCCCCAGCATGAACCCAACCACCCCGTCCCCACGGAAACCTGCAGCAAAACTGTCCGGGTCACTTCCTGAACGTCAAACTTTCTGTCTTTTCCCAGGAAGCTGCAGTTTCACTGAATCAGAACCAGAATCAGTTTTTAGGTTCAGAATCAGAACCGATCCATTTCTGTTTAATCGACTTTTAAAACGCGACAAAACAAAACATTGGATGTGTTCCCAGGTTCATAAGCACCATGATGTCATCAAGCGCCATGATGTCATCAAGCGTCTCCAAAAATGACAATCTGAGTGTTGATGTTTCTGAAGGAGCCGTGGCTTCTTCCTCCCTGAGCGGCTTTCACACACACACACACACGCACGCACGCACGCACACACACACACACGCACGCACACAATTAGTCGTTTTTCCATCTGGTGGTTTGGAGCAAACCAACCAGGTGACACAAAGTCATCAGGACGAAACAGGAAGTAGATCAGATG